CCCCCCCACGGCAACGCAACACCCAGGTCAGCCCCAGCCGCCGAGGTGGGTCAGCGCCGTCTCCGAGCTCAACCTTCAGGAGAGGCGCTGCTCTTTTGGGCAGCCCAATTTAAGAGTTTGTTCTATGGGATAAAGCAAGCAGGCAGCAGCATCTTTGCTTTGCGAGGTGACCTCATGGCCAAACCGTCCGAGCCCAGCTCATCGGGTGAAGCACAAGTTCTTCAAGAGGAACCGCACCACGACAGAAGTGAGAAAGACTCGACTCTCAAAGTAAAGGGAATTACGAGCAACCGTGACAGAGAGACAAGGGAAAACACAAAACGTCTTGTGCCAGATCTTTAGCTGATAAAACCAAGGCGCACTACATCCGGCTCGGAGCCGGGATACCCTTACCCGACTCTGAATCGTTAATGCCAGCGTACACATCAGTTAATCAGCAGTGCAAGGGACAAAGCAGCCGGCACCCGCCGCTCCACGTGTTACACAATTAAAAGGCTTCTCATTCAGGCACAGAAAGAAAAGTCAGGGGACTTCAGCTGTGAAACATCCATTATTCAAAAGTGTATCCATTATTCAAAGTTTTCCTTAAAAACGTTATTGTCAGCTTGAAAGGAAAAAGAAAATGAGTTTTCTAAGCTGTGCTCAGTTGATATTCCACTCCAATTTTCGCTGATTATAAGTATTAAAACTCCAGACGTTTTGAAGAGCTGAAGAAATCTTCCACGGTTCCCGGGAAAGGCAACACCCCACGGGCAGGTGCAGCCTTGCCCCCTCGCTTCGCTCCGTCCCGCAGGGCTGCAGCACACCCCGCTCCTTGTGCTGACCCAGCACGGGGCGGACAAGCGTTATTCAGGGGAATGCAGTTATTCAGCAATACTCACCATCGCACCTGACCGACTCGTTGCCATCCATAAGCGTGGTTCAGGGCAGCTAAATGAGGTCTGGATACAAGGCCCAACCTGCCACCTGGGGTCGGTGGGGTTGGCATGGGGCATTGGGCTGCAGAGCAAATTTTCAAGCCCCCCTGAGCAGCTTCCCCCTGCAAAACACAGCTCCAGATCACAGCCTGCCCTTTGCCCAGCCTCTGGGGCTCTCAAAGGCAGAGATGGCCCCCAACTTCCTAGCAGTATTTAGCCTTCTGTTGCATCTGACTCTTATAAGATTCCTGGCCAAAATCCACATCCGAGAGGTCACGTGCAAAAAGCTCACCAGGTGCCTCCTGCTCCCAGTCCAAGGGACAGGAGAAGACCAGCACCACAGCTCCTGCTGCAGTAGGAGCATGCTGGCCAGGATACATCCCCTCACCCCAGGAGGGAGCAGGGCAGCCAGGGGCAGTCTCAGCCCTGGGCATTGCTACAGGGATGGGCAAAAAATCAACACATGGGATGGGGGCTGGATCAGGAGAACCAGCAACCAGGCAGAGCCAGAGATCACCACTACTCTACTATAGCCCAGATCAGGGATAAGGGTCCCCAGCTGGACTTAAATGGGCTCTTGGCCCATGGCAGGGTGGGGGTGGAGGCCTCAGCTGAGGCTGCTCAGGGCCATTAAAGCTATAAATGCTCTCAAGGGCTTGAAAGTGGTTTATTGGGGGGGAAAAAAAATGGGGGATTGGGGGAAGACTATTCTTCCTCCTGCCTAACTTTAAGGCTACCTGAGGAAGAAGGACCTGAGCAGAGACCCATCCATTAAAGCTATGCCCTAGGTTAAGGCGCAGTAGCCAAGACTGAAGCCTGAAAAACATTTTAGAGTTGTGAAGCACAAAAGAAGTGAACTATTTTGTTCTCTTTTGTAGTTATTTGTGAGGAAAGAATCAAAGTCCTTGAAAGGCTTTGCTGGCCTTGAAGTGCTAGACTGTAAGCTATAAGGCTCCCTGAAGGCCCTAAGGCTCTTCTCCCTGGGCAAAGGAAGATTAAGAGAGGCTGTAGTAGACGTATGTAAATGTTTGGCAGAGGCCATGCTGAAGGAACGTTCTCAGGTAGACTTAAAATCATATTTGTTTGGGTTTTCTGTATACAGAGCGCATAATTAAATTGCAGAATTCCCTGTAGTGTGACCTAAAGAAGCTGGAGGTAGTAACTATTTCAACAGGCAAATTTATGGAAGAATGGTGATTGAAGCTTAAAAAAGCAGAGAGCTGCATGCAACGTATGACCCAAGACGTTTGCTGGAAGATTGGTGGGATGTCAATAACTTTCAGGGTACAGCCTGAATGTACCATGTGAAACAGCTGTTCAGGGTCTCTTGTTGAATTAAGACTTGGGTTTTTCTATCTTTAAGTAGGATGTGTACCTAACACCACGAGGCCACAATAGTAGACGTTTGTAGAGTGCTTCCACTGCACTAAAATGAACTAAAGGTTGCCCACAGCATGAGTGTGGCTCACAGCTTATTTGGACGAGCTCTTCATTGCATTAGTCCATTTTCTGCAGTTACCAGTGAAGTAAGCTCACAAAAAATCTCCTTTCTGCAGCAAGAAGCTGTGCATGCCAGGAAGAATTTACAAGGCTTTTAAGGCACGGACAGGAGTCTTCACCCAGAATCTAAGTCACGTTTTGGGCAGAAGCTTGTCTTCGCTGTGTAGCAGCAAGGATGGGCGCAAAGCAGCACTGGAGTCATCGCTACAATAAAAGCATGCTGAAAGCCCAGGAGGTTTATTACAACAGAGGAAGCGTTTTGTAACCTGCGGGGACGCTGCATCTGCCCAGTGCTAGAAGCTGGAACAGCAGAGCCCAGCATAGACAAATGTAAGTACTGTCAGATCAAATGCTTTGAGCATTGCATCTCTATAGTCCATTATAGCTCAGGTCTTTCAGCTTGAAAGAGCATACCCTACTTGCTACTAGAGTTTCAGTCTCCTTCTGTTTGCAGCAGTGCGGATGAAGGTAATCAAACAGCAATCAGTGGGACCCCAGCTAGACTCACTTGCTCATTGGCCCACTCAAACTACGTTAAAAGAAGCTGGAATTGACTCTTCTCTGCTCCCATTAGCAGTAACTACAGCCAACACAGGATATCAGGCCACTGTCAATAACAGAAAAGTGGTCCATACAATCCTCCTGAAAAAGTCAGAAAAACTGTGCAAAAAGTCACCTTATGTCTCGATTATGCATATACGATTTTTTGTCACCAAGAAATATTGTCAGGTCAGATTTTGAGGGCAGTGTAAATTTATTCGAGATTTTGAGGTGCAAGGCAGCCTGGTCAAAATTAGCACTCTTGCAGCTGCGGCAATAAGGACACTTATAAGGTAAGTTTGACACTGAGGAATCCTCAGGGTTACCATACAGCACATGCGTACAGTCACTTGAGAAATCCTGGACAGTACTACTAGGTCCCCCAGGCTGTTTGAAGGCACAGAGCAAAAGCAAAACATCTGCTGTGCGACTGGGCAGCAGTTGCAAGGGCTTCACCCGTCCGCGTGGGCTGCTCTGCTCTGCCACACAGCGTGCCTCGGCGGGAGCCTTTCCGGCCAGCGGCTAAGCTCAGAACAGGGACAGGCTAAAAGCGCACACTCATCAACACCTACAGCTGTCTGTTCGGCTGACAAACAGCAACTTGTTAAGCCCCTGTCCCTAAGTTACATGTCCCTGATTCATTTTGCTTGTCCGCTGTTGGGGGAAGGTGGGTCGGAGAGTCTCGTCCTCAGGGCAGGAACAGGGCAGGAGGTCGAGTCCTAGGGAAAGCACCGATTTACTTCATGGAGATGATGACCTTCCCTGTGGACTTGCGCTGGAGCACGTGGTTAAAAGCTTCGTTTGCCTGCAAACACAAAGCCCCAGGTGCTTACGGTGACAGAGGGAAAGGGCTTTGTAGGGAGACAAAGGGCAGAACAAGAACATGCGGGAGAAGTTTTGCAGAGCCTCTTGATGTTTGCCGTGTTACACAGCAAAAAAGCTTAAATACAACTAGACACCTATTTTGTCTTAGGTAGATTGTACAATAGACTGTAATATGCTTTGTTTGGCATTAACAAATAGCCCAGAATTTGCATTCGAGCCTGGGCATTCCAATGGTGGGATTGAAATAACTCAGGACCGGACCAGCTCCTGCCTATGTGACTGCCTTACATCCCTGAATGTGCTGCATGTTGGTTACATAAATACTTCTGACAAGCTGAGCTGTTATTTAAGAATTAAAATACCATCAAATCAGAAAAAATGTAGTGTTTTGAACACCTTCAGAGGTTCTGAGAAAAATGCAAACAAAGACATATTGCAATCAACTAATTCACTTCTAAAATGTTGCCCCACCACATTATTCTTCGTGACTGCTCTTTGGCATAGAGCATGCGTTTTTCATATGACTGTTTACTATTCAGCACATTGCAATTCTGGCGTTGCAGTCCCAAAACAGGAGTTAATGATTCCCTGGCTAAAACCCAACGAAAGAAGATTAAAAAGGGTAAGAAAAAATGGGATTTCTTGATTTAATATTTTTGTTTTGTAGAGAACTAGGACTCTGGAGGTTTCTGTGCCAGGGGCTAACTGCACACAAAAACTTACTTTTCTCTACAAAAAAACTTCATAAAAATAATGCTGAGGAACCAACTCTGCACAGGTCATACAAGTGTGCAACCGATGCAAACATCCGAACAGAGTGACCAGCACTGTTCCCTTCCTGCTGCTTTTCTAGAGATCTATCTGAGTGGGCTATTTAGAGGGCCACACTCACCTGCATCTCTGTCCCCTTAACCCATGAGATCAAGCTCTAAAGAGCACTGCAGACCGCTACCTGATCCAACAGCCTTTTCTTTCCACAGGCCTCCATCAGAGAAGCCTACGTCCCCTGAGGGCACGCTGCTGTAAGCATCGTTCCAGCACCTACCTCTTCCAGTTTGAAGACTGCTCCAATATTAGGATGTATCTTTCCTTCCTGGCAATACTGAAGAGCAGAGGAGATAGCGGAGGAGAAAACAGGGAAATTCTCTTTCTGGTACCGACTCCAATACACTCCCATGGCAGACACGTTCTTCAGAAGCAGCAAGTTGGCAGGAATCGAAGGGATTTTTCCGCCAGCAAAACCCATCACTACAATCCTGCCCTCCCAAGCCAAACTGCAAGAAGGAAGGAAAAAAATAGATTTACTGGAGGTCTCCTCAGAGCCTCGTCTCAAAGCAGTACTTGCATGCTGAGGAGGGCTGAAGAGCTGCTGACGCTGAGCATAACCCTCAGGCTCAAATGAATTAGTGCCCAGAAAAGCCCTGGTCTGGACCGCTGTACTTCAGTACCAGTCTTCAGAGAACATAAATAAAAAACTAACACAACACACACAAAGTCAAGGCCTTGTCCCACCCGCACCTCCTCGGCAAGTCCAAGCTCTGTCCTTCAGAGCTGGCCAGGTACCCATGGAGCCCAAAGAGGCATCCTTGGGGAAACCAAGCTTGACACCCCTAATAAGTCATACATCGTCAACAAAATGACCTTCCAACGTGCCAACAGGATCACCTGCACTCGTATGGCTTTGTCCTAAGTCAGAACAAGGTGCAGGACTCTTATTTCAGCGCACCTTTGCAGAGCTGCCTTGAAGACATCCCCGCCAACGGCCTCGACAGCCACGTCGGCCCCTCTGCCATCCGTGAGTCGCTTCACTTCATCCTTCAGACTGCTCTGGCTATAGTTCATGCTGTGGCTCGCGCCAGTCTTCAGAGCCAGCTTGCATTTGGCATCACTTCCAGCTGCTGCTATCACCTGCAACCATGGAAAAACACAACATCCAGCACAAAAGCAGCTCTGCTCAAAGGGCAGAGTGTTTTGGATGCTCTGTTGTGATCTGTGAGAGTTATAAGCTTTAGCACTTCCGTTAATCACCTCATAAAAGGTCCCACAGTCCTCTGCAAACTGAAAATGAAACACAAATGACATCTCTCCTGTTTCAGCTTTCCAGAAGAAGCAGCCACCTTGGAGTGCAAGGCAGCAGTAGTCCAGCAGAGCCACATCACCCAAAACCATACACCAGAAAGGGAGGAGGTTTCCTCCATCAGAAACTTGGAGAAGTTGGGCTTCAGCCTGGATTTCAGCCTACTGTTCCCCCAGGAAGCCTTAGAGAAGGCACCTATGTGCTCAGGATGACTTTGCAGGCAGCACCATGACACAGCCCAAGACAAGGTGTCTACCCTCAGGCAGAAGACCAGCCACCAAATCACTTTAGGTAATGCAAGCTGGACTGGACTTATCTCAGCACAAGGGTTTCTGCGATTTTTCTTAGCACCACTGTGTGCTTTTTAGTATGGATGTTGCATCTATTCTTCTATCTTACCTTAAACCAAAGAATCTCTGAAAGGTATGTTTCTTATTTTATTTCCCCAAAAGTGGAAGTTGGAACCAGCATACCAACTCTTTCTCCTCACGTACATAAATGCTGCTGTTTCCTTATATATGCCTCAAAAGAAGAACTAAGTTACAATTTTCACAAGTGCCTGAATGACTTTGGAGCCTAAGGCCGTAGACTCCCACTGAAAACTAGGAACATGAGTATCTAAACCCCTTTGGAAAATGATGACCCACAGGGGAAATACAGACTGAGAGGCCTGTACGCTGCTCAAGGGGAGCAACAGAGATTTACAGCAGAGCCAGTGGAAGGTGGAGGAGAAAGAGGGGATATTGCACAGGGGCAGGGCAAGGGTATGTTGCAATTGGTAGAGGAAAACTAGTTTCATAGGTCGCTGGTCGCTCTGACCCAGCAAGTACCTGGTTTCAATCCTCTCCTCTGCCACTAAGTCAGCATGACACTAGAGGCTGCTCTCAGCCCATGTGGCTGGTGGTGGTCGGGCCAGGAGGAGAGGGCAGGACTTGGAAAAACACACTCCCCGCTGCTACCTGCAAGGAGCTCTGGGTCCCCAGAGAAAGCAGGACCCTGGAGCAGAGGGGCATGTGGCACTGGAGTAAGCACACAAGGACAGACGCTTTGTTCAAAAGGAGAATACCTTTGCCTTGAAAATATTGACAGCCAGATCGATAACTGCAAGCCCTGTGGCCCCAGCTCCCGCCGTCACCAGAACGGTTTCCCTGAGAGAGAGAGAAGGAGAGCAAAGGTCTGTGGCACAACAGAAGAGCACGTCATTGGTTTCTGAACGGGGCAACGTGTTTCGGTGCCACAGGAATTCCCCCCCACCCCGGTCATCAGGGATGCGCTGGGTACCACAGCAGTTTGAGGGGTACTCCTCAAAAGGAGGTTTGCCTTCTCCCCAAAATCAGCCAAATCAAAAGCACTCTTCCCACCCGAGTGCAAAACTTTGATACTGCAAAGTGAAATGATCTGATAAGCAAGATCTGCTTTTGCTGGATGACTTTACAAGCAGAAATCTATTTACTCCGAGCTGTAGAGAAAACGTCACTCCTGCACCACTCAGACAGGCCGTGCAATTGCCTCCACTGTTGGGTGGGGAGGAGGACCGCGTGAATCAAGGTGTATCAATGATTTCTGCCTGCTGTCCCCACCTCCGCTGTTGGCTTTCTGCATGAATGCCAGGAAGTTGTTTAATCTCTATGGCTTTCTTTGATGACATTTCCCTACTTCAGAGAAGTAAAGAACTCAGCATTTCAGCTGACCATAGAAAAATCAAGTGAGTTTAAAAAATCCAACACAATGACTCCCGAGCCCAGGTACAACAGTATAATCCTGCCTCTCCAAAATGGGGAGCTGCTGCCCTAGAGCCCCGCCATAAGAGAAGTGCATGGCACGCACTGACACGGAGAGTGAGCGTGTCTTTAGTGAAACCACTATGCAGCTATACCCGCCTGGGACACTTCCCAGTCCAGGGGAAGTGAGATGCATGGGGAATTAATTTCATCGCTGCACACTGCCTGTGGTTTACAAAGCCTCTCAGCACCCAGCGGTTTCACCAGGAACGTCAAATGCTTTGCAGAAAGCTCACGTTGCAAAGCTTGCACTTTACCTGTGTACTTTTAGTTTCTCCTGCAGACCCTGACAGTTTAATACTGTCCAAATGCAACAGGCAGCAGTTGTTGGCTCCATCTCTTGCTGACTGCATCCCACCTGGACTTGTGCAACCCTCGCCCCCAAGCAGTCCCACACTCTCCCCACCTTAGAGGTGGGGAAAATCGCAAACATGAAATGATCCAGCCCTGGTTATACAGCCAGGCGCTACGTCTGAGGTGTGCAAAAGAGACAGGATGCCACATTTTTGACAGCCGAAAGGCCCAGGTTGGGGTTACAGTTCACTTGTCACCCTCCAAACCGTGGTTGCCACTTACCCCGGCTGAACACGTGCCCTACGGTGGAGAACCAGCGTGGCCGTGCCGTAAGTGACAGGCAATGCCGCGGCAGCCTCGGAGGGCACCCCTTCGGGGATCCGCCACAGCATCTGCATGGAAACACACGCAACACAACGAACCCGGAGGAGCGACAAGGACGAAGTCTGCACCTCCAGCGTGCCTCCTTCCCCCAAGCATGCCGTGCCCCGTTCTGCCAGCGGGGCCAAAGAAAGGGAAATAAAGTAATCAGAAAGGGGCACAAAGCAGCAGCTCTGACAAAACCAAAGCCCTGAACAGAGAGAAACTTCTTTGCAATATGGGCAAACAAATGCTCCATATCCTTACCTTCTGATCGACGACACACTCCTCTGCCATAGCTGCAGTGCCAGTCACACCAATTACTCGGTATCCCTGCCAAAAAAACGTTGTCGGATGGGTGTCAGGAGACAAATCGCACAGTCCGGCTGTTATCTCTGAATCAAGCATTTGATTTCCCTGCTTTTTCGGGAAGAACCGTGGACAGCACAAGCTGTGTCGGATAACAGCCCACTTAGCAATTGCATTAACTGCATATTCCTCCCCCCCCCCCCGCCCCCCCCTGGCTGCTGAGGCCGGCAGCAGCGCCTTCTCCCTCCCCAAGCAGAGCTCACCACTTCTCCTTTGCTTTCACAACCAGGATGCAAGGGATTAAAGGGGTGAACCCCCACGGCATGAGTCTGGACCTCCACCCACAATGACCAATGAGGGCGCAGGAGGCCGTTCCTAAATTCTGGCATTGCCGTGTTTTTCTTACCTCCTTCACGGCGCTCACGTTTTCCCCAGTCTCCGTTACCGTCCCTGAGAACTCCATTCCTACGGGGCGATAAGGACACGCGCACGCGCTACAGACACTGACCCCATCCACCTCCCCGTCGCAATTAGCAGCCTCCTCTGCTGACGGACTCTAGTAGACGAGGTCCCACCTACGCTACCTCTACTTTGGGGAGAGACTACACAGCGACGGGCATCTCAGTAACCCTCAGCCCCGCACAGCAGAATGAGCAGCTCTCACCGTTAGTTGTAACAAGAAATAACTGAGATGCTCGGCGTTTTTCAGGTTGCCAGGTGCCCCATGCCCAGGCCTGCAGCCCCTACGTCCCACATGGAGAAGGTCCTTGGGCCAGGCGCTGGGGAAGCTCTCGGCAGCAAAGTACCAGCTGGGCAGAAGGTGGCAGCATTAGCACAAGAGTCAGCAACCACTTGGTTAACCAGCTGGCGATTTCTTTTAGTTGCAAATGCATATAAACGCTAAGGGGAAAGAGACTTTTTCACGCCAGCGTGCTTAAGGCATAAGACAAAAAGTCAGCGCCCGGCCTGGCACAGGTCAAAGGAGACGGTACGGCCTGAAGGGTTCAGCCCAGGTGAGTACCACGCAGGCGCTGCCAGCCCATAATATAGCTTAAAAATACGGCGGAGGCGCAAGCGCCAGAGGAATTCAGCATGGGGAGAGACATGCCCGCAGCATCGGGAACCGTCCCGGCGTCCTCGCTGAAGGGCGACGCTCTGCCCGTCTGCCGAGGGGGCCAGGGCAAAGTCCGACGTGCCGACATCCTGGCCCACCTCCGTCCTCCCCAGCGACGCCAGGCCGCTCACGTGTGCTTGCTGCGTGAATTACTGTAGCTCTAGGCTTAGGGCACAAGCATCCAGCCCTCCCCAACCCCTCTCTACGCTTCAGTTTTCTTAGCTTTCAGGCAAGTTTAATATTTACTCGCTTTCTCCCCAGCCTAGCATGAGTGCTCTTTGCACACTACTTTGCAAGCGCAGTTTTAAGCGGAGTGTTTTCAGAGAGGACGTTAAAACGCGGTCTCGTCTGCTCTAAGAAAATGCCTCCAGTCGGCCTCTGCTTTATTTGCATACGCCGTTATTCTCCAGGGCTGCCAATCTGCTCTTAATCCAATTAGCATTTATTGCACCCAATCAGTTAGTCACTCCACACCTCCCGCACAAATCAATCACCTCCTACTCACCAGGAGTGAACGGAAGAGTATGTTTTTCCTGATACAAACCCTGGCAGGCCAAGATATCTGCAAAATTTAACCCACAGTAATGAACACCCACTCGGACCTGCAAGAGAGAAGGGGACAAACATAAATCTTTCCATTCAAGCAATAGCAGAAGTGTTTTAATAGAGACTTACTGCCCTAGCCTGCAGCAAAGCCTGCAAAAATAAATCCAGACCTCTCAAGTGCCCAGACTAAGCACTGTGCTAGCCCATCTCTCAAAAGATATTGGTGCTTTCTAAGACACAGAGTCTCAGTCTCAGCTGGAGAAACTAGGGACAGGCACTGGTTTTGCTGTGGCCGTGCAGATTCACCCTCTTCCCTGCAAGGTTTTCCCGCAAGACCTGGTGGAAAACGAACAACCTTCACTGAAGACCAGCTACTGTGCCAGGACAGTTTTGTCTTATATACCTCATTTAGGGATGTTTTTCTCTTTCCATGTATGTTAGTCATAGCAAGGGGCTTCTATGTAGCTTCATCTCCTTGGTGTGGGTAGACGGGTACAAGAGGCCCTGTGGATTTTAAGCTTGTCATCCCTGTTCCCAGCACAAATAATAGAGAAAAGCACTGTTGCTGAGCTCTGCTTTTTCCAAGGACACTGCAAATGTGACCCGAACATCCCACCGTCGGGGCAAGGTGTACATCAGGATGTCTGGCAGGTATTGGAAGTGACATGCCGAAAGGGATGAGATCTGAACATCACGTAGCCTCGCATCCCGGATTTAACCTTCCTCTTTCCTGCCGTATTTGCCACCGTTTTCAATCTGCATGTGACCTTCATCTGGTTCATGTGTCCTGTTCCCAATTAGGAAAGCAACGTTGCCAGGTTCACTGGGATGGGACTTGGGGGATCTTCCAGCCCTGCTGCTTCCCTGCCAGGAGATCTTGGGCAAGTCACTTTTCTGGTGCAAGTTCAGTGGATGAACCCTGTAAAAGAGGGACACAGACGCTCTCCTCTGCGGAGAGCTCTGCGGTGTGCTGGTGCTGCATGGCTCTGTTCTTGCTAGCGTAACATTTAAGGGACCCATCTGAGGATGGGAGGGGAGCAGAGGGACAACAGATATTCTCAGCGACGCGTCAGGCCGGCAAGCCTTCGCACCGCGTCCACCGTACCTGATGGGGCTGCAGAGGGGGCGACGGGACGTCCCGCACGAGCAGGGGTTTTGCCAGCTCGGTGCACAGCACCGCTCGGTAGCCCCGAGCACCGCTTCTCCCGCAGGCTTGTCCCAGGACGCCGACCCTGAAACACAGGCGCACGCGGCCACCTCAGCCCACGCGGCACCGCGCTCTCA